ATGTCCAACATATCAGTTGAAAAATGTCAGTCATGCTCGGTATGGCCATCTCCTTTTGTTTAAGTGTGATCATGTCTTTTTTTTTTTTTTCCATGGGAAAAGTATGCGTGTGTCTGTGTGTCTGTGTGTGGATTTCTTTACCACATTCTGAAATAGCAATGTAAAATGTCTTGACATTTTCCACCAAAAAAAAAAGCTATAACAAAAAGCCCAACAACTTTGGGATGAGTTCATGCCTGGAATGTTTCTGAAAAAAAAAATCACAGAAGATTGTATTTCAAAAGAGAGTGATGAATAATGGAAAGTATGAACTGTGAAGTTCTATTATATCAGTTGTATTTAGGTTAACCACATTTAATTTTTTTAAGCTCATAAATCCTTAAGAAATGTTAATCACATGATGGACTTATTTGTAAATTTACATACTGCCCTGAAGGAGACACTGATTGTTGAATTCTGTGGTGACTCATGAGCATCTCTGGTTCAGGCTGCCAGGACTGAGAAAGCAAACTGAGTAGTATGATCCTGTATGAACTGTGATTAAATTTCCAGTAGAGTTATCCTCAGGACACTCCACAGCATTTTTTAACACACTAAGATATGAAAACTAAAAAGAGAGTGATATAAAGCAGTCTTTAAGTTTGAAACTTAGCATTGTTTTCTTTCATTCTGTTAACAGTGAAAATTATGCAGGCTAATAGTTCTTGGTCTCTAAATACCAGAAGTAAACTTGCATGCATACTACATTCTAATAAATTGTATACATTTTAAAATTGAATTCTTTATTGCATGTCAGTGAAAAAATAAGCCTACAGTAAACTCAAAGCCCCATCAAGTGATGCCATCTGGATTTTTCTTCTATTGACAAGACAAACAGATTTAAGATATATTTAATTAAAGTATTATCAATGTTTAAATATATCATGAGTGACAATGTATGGTAATAGACACGAAAAATAGTTATTTGGGTTCCTATTTATCTGTCAAGTGAACTGATTTATCTGCTGTACATAAATGAACATCAGATGTAATCTAAGGGGTTTTTAATAGAAGGAAGCTTGACAAAATGCTGGCAGATGGTATTCTGGGTAATGATCCAGACTGCAATGATCTCAGTAATGACTTATTGTATCTATTTACGTGGCCTCAAACAAAGGGGGGGGAAAAAGCTAAAATGATTCAACTAGCCTAGGCTGCTCTGGCAGTGTGAATGTTTAAATCACTGAAGCAGCCCATTCGCTTCTGTAGTGGGAGAAAACATGAAATTGATTAAAACAGCATAAATGCAACAGGAAAATCTTCCTCCTCCGCAGCCAGTTTGGGAATGGAAACTTACCTAGTTCTCATGGTCTTTTTTTTTCTGTTGTTGCTCTGAAGTGGTCAGTGCAAGGGAAATTCTGTCCTTTAAAGGAAAAAGATCTCATAGCACCACTCGGCCACTCCAGCATGCCTCTTCTCAAGGAATGGTCATCTGCTTCCAGAGCAGGGGCAATAAGAGTAAGGCTTTAGGAGTCATGAAGGACTGCTGTGTGCCCTGAAACCTTCCTTTTGCCTCACATTGATATGGATGATGATACAGGGCTTACAATGACTGTTTTTCTGCTTCCCTCTACAAGGCACGGAAACAACTCCAAACAGCCATGGTAAACTGCACTCTGACTTTGCCACAGATACACAGTTTCTGAAACCTGAAAAAAATACTTGTGTTCTGTAAAATTCCACTTCAGATCCTGAAAGTCCCATTGAAAATACAGTTTGATGATCTAAGTAAATACAAATGGAAGCCTCATGGAGATTTTCATACATTCTAAATCTATAATGAGAAAACTCTTGCAATTAACATTATGTAGTAAGTCTCAGTGGAACAGAAAAGTCTGTGGAACTTTCTCTCCCAGCCTCACCTATTTCAGCAGTACTTCCACTGATGAAAACTGTGCTGGGAAACTTGTTGATCTGTCTCAGAAATATGCTCCCCAGTAATAAAAGGGATGACTTGAACTTAAATCAGCTCAGCACCAGTGTCATACAGTATAAATTAAGAGGTCATTGCAATCTGCTCAAGAGGAGCTAGGTGTGGTGCTGGACAGTTTACCATGGTATTGGACAACAGAGAGGCAATGTTATCCAGAGGTACACAGGTGTTGGTGACAGGCAAGAGAAATATCCTGAGAGAGTAGCTGTGATGTTTACATGCACTTTCAGCCAAGGTATCCAGCCTAGCTGTTGTCAAATTAGTCTATAGTAGAGATGTACTTCTGGTTTTTGAGTACTTTGAAATGCCCTGGATGCATAAGTAGCAACGTTGTGCTGTTTTCCATTAGGTGTGTTCAGTGTTCAGGTGAAGTGCTGTGGACAGTTTTAGCACTGTGAAATCCAAGGCCATTCAGTTCATCTGTAATGATCTGCAAGGATCACTTAGAGAGAACTTCTGCAGCTAGTAAAAATCTGCTGCTGCTTTCATAGCAGCATCAGCTACAAGACTTCCTTTTCTCCTGAAGCAAGCGCTTTTTATTTACAAGCATAGTACACCAATTTCTGGTTTGGAAGGGTTGGTCTAATTTCCTGAGTCTCTGAGAAAACCTCAGAAAGATGTGCCTCATAAGACATCTGGCTAGGTCTAATGTATGGCACCCCCTGTGCTCAGACCTTCACCTTGTGTGAGGCTGGAGTGTTAGCTTTATGTGTTTTTACAAACTACCAACAGGCATGGGGAGATATGAACTCTGGTAGCTAGGGCTGAGATTTAAATCTGTATGTTCACTCCCTTCCAGTCTGCAGGAAGCTAAATACTTGTTCGTGTTGTTATAATCCGCCCAGAAAGCCAGTGTTTAGTTCTATAGGTTGGCACGTGGAAAATGATGTTTGAGAAGAAGCCTGCATGCAGATCATCTGCATTGAGGATACACAGATAAACAGAACAAAATGCTGTATTATCCCATATCTCACTTGACCTTCTGACAACTGACATCCTTTTAAAAGTACTCATAATTGAAATGAAGTCCTCAGCTAATCTCTAGCCTTAAGCAAACTCCACAAAACCAAAGGCTGAGACGGGGGAATCATCACCAAGGGTATTACAGGTTGGAAAGAGCAAGAGGTGGGAAGTCAGGTGCAGGAAGGATATAAGGGAAAAAGAACAGGGTTAAAGATCAAAGATTGATTAATTCTTAAAAAAGGTAAGGCTTTGGAGAAAACTACCCCTCTGATGACCTGCACACCTAGCCAATAGTTAAGTCACAGTAGCTTCTGTGTGGATAATACCAATATACAGATGAAAATATGGGAAATACTGGTGTACAAAGAGTATTGTTCCTGCTTGCTACTTTTTCTTTAATTTTATATAATAGGCACTGTCTCAGAGAACCAAAACACTAAAACCATTACCTTTTATGTGTTCGTTGAAATGGGAACTGCCCGTACAGCTGATGCATTCACAACCAATTCATCCAGGTGCCATGTGCGACGTACAGCTCGGCATGCTTTCTTCAAGCACGTACTTTTTTTGAACAGTGTCGTTCTGTGCAGACTCAACTGCTGTCCTTGCAGCTCTCGGTTTCTCTCCCCTCTTACCATTCTTAAAAGTTGAGGAGTAGTCAGATATTAAATTAGTCCCACCATTTATAAAGGGGTTTGCTCGTATTGCTTAAGATCTAGCCAGGGTACCACAGGCTGTTGTATTAAATACAGTTCTAAGTTTCCTTGGTCTAATGGCAAGATTCCACTGTGTATTAATAACCAATATTAGAATAAGAAGACACAGAAGAGGTATGTTTTCCTTTATTGTTTATTATAATATAAGATAAACAAACCTAGAAAGCACATTTCATGGAGCACCATGTTGTAACAAAATTTTGCTGGCTCTCCTACAAAGTGTATTTTTGACATTTAAACAATGACACACACATAGTCAGTACACACAGGCATCTACACCCCGGCGATCTTATTAACAGCCCCAAAGAGACCCCTCTTTCAAATACAGAAACACTAAGGTGCACAGAGGAATGCCAGTGTGAGGGCATCTGAACGCCAACTGAGTTAGTTACTCTTTTGTTAGCGATCTTCATAAGCACACAAGCCTTCGTTGTCTCACCCCAGTGTCTCCTATCTGAAGCCTCCAAACGGGGCTCAAAGTTCACTGAGTACAGAACCGACATAGACACGGTGTAGAGTTGAACAAAACTGGCCAATATTCCCTACCTGATACCTCTTATTGCTTTGGTTATAGTACTGAATGAAAGTCTTAAAAACTCTTAAACCTACACTCCACATCACAGAAAATCCACTTTCACACACACAGAAACATAACCTCCCTCCCCACACACACCTGAACGCATAGCACTGACACCTTTTTGAGAAGCTTTGTGGGTTTCCCCACCAAGATCACCTTCATAAAAATGATTGCATTCTGTTTTCAATGTGTTCAGACAGTTGTTCAACAATATATTTCATAATATGTTTCTTTCTTCTTAATAGACAGGGCATGTTCTCCTTCTGCCTTAAATTTATGTCATTGTCTACACAAGCAAGACAAAAATGCTATCGTTTTCATCTGTACAAAATGTTTTACGTTCATTTTATACAGTGCTAGATAATGATGCTAAGCACAGAACAGTGTAGAATGATAGCCCAGAATAGCTTTTTACCTTGCTCAAAATGAAAAAGTACTGGAAGTTTCCCACACTAATGTTGAGACACAGTATTGGGGTCTCTATTATATACAGTAGCCTTCCAGAATACTTTCAGGCACCTATTTTGTGAGCTATTGCTCAATATGTATGTCACACTGAAGCACCTCAAGTAATACGGTTTAGTGCCGTCAGACAGGGAGAATAAGAGACAAAAGCAAATCCAGGCTCACAGCAGACTGGACCAATTGTGAAGTGTGATGCTAGGAAGGTAGCAAAATATCTGCCTGAGGCCAAAACAACCCACTGTTACAATAATTTGGGGTATCTGACATATGGCCACTTCTATCATTAACTGAGGACAATACATGAAGTTCAATTTAAAACCTTTTCTATAAAATGTTTTAATTCTGTCAACAAAAAAAAATGAAGAGCTCATATTTCCATCAGCCACTTACAAAAGATATTTTTTTCCTCTAAGCCCATTTCTCCTTGAAATACTTTTGCTTTCTGACCACAAATTTTTCTGGGGAAATTTAAGGATTTGCAAAATGTATTTCTGTCTTGATAGTCAGTGAGGCTGAGCTATCTTTAAGTTTTGGGCAGGGTAATGCATTCTTGTTGCCAAGAAAGAAATTAAGTTATTGTGTATTTTTTCTTGTGGAAAATCTTTGTGGATTTCCCATTTATCGGAGCCAATTTTATAATTCCTTTATACTATGGGATGAACAGACATCTATGAATAACAAGGCAAAAGAATGGAAATTCAAAAGGAGAAAATGGACTTGAAAAATAACTGTAAATTCAGATATGCAAGGGGGTATGAACTAACTGAATTACTAACTCAGACTCTCTCCTCTGAGCTAAAGGTATGTTTCAACAGCTGTGCTAAACATTTGGCGAGCATTTCCCAGATAAACAGTACAGGCTTCAGCTGTATGATGGGGAAAAAAAGAGAGAAAGAAAAGACTTACCAGTTCAAGTTTTACAAAGGCTATGGAGTTGCTATGGATTAATAAAGTTTCAGATGATTGAAGAATAGGATATAATGAGGAAAAAACGTTATGCTGGGTGTATCAATACGTATTTTCACTTGGACTAACGTCTACAGCTTTATTCACCCAAGTGAAAGGACAGTGTAGCAAAAGCAGAAGAGATTCAGAGGCAGGCAAATAATATGGACCTGTATAAGAATGTGAATAATTGTTTGACTTCAGAAACAAACAAAAAGTATGTAAATTTCTATATAGAATATAAGATCACTGACATACAGAAGAAAAATTGGGATCACTCCTCTTGATATTGTTTTAGCATACAAGAGCAAGAGATGAGAATGACATTGAAAAGCAGCCAATTTAAATTTGAAAAAAAATCTGGTTTTATTTGTTTTTCTTCGTTCTTAAACATGATGGGTTTCAATTTTAGTATTCCCCAGCTCAGGAAATATTTAGATCCCAAAACTCAGGATCAGCCTCTCATAGGGATGATGAGACATCAACAATTACATTAGACAAGACAAAAATAAGGGCTGAAGCTAATGAAAATTCCAGAAGAAATTATTGCACCTTCCCCCTGAAGCATCTGATACGGTCAGAGGTAGGACACTGGATTAGATAAACCATGTAGTTTGGCAATGTTACTGTTTCTAATATTAGTTTTAAAAATTTCAGTTATATATCCCAGTTAGTCATGAAAATGTGTAACAACCTTCCATACTAAGCAATGAGTTACAGTAACATTAATGAATGGGAGGACAGAATAATTATTAGTATTGGTCTTAGACACTACTTATGTGTGCAGGCATATGTATATGCATACATAAAAATATATGCTATACATATATACGCATATATAAATGCATACATACACACACACAGATACATACATGCCTTCTGAGAAGTGGGGCTCACCAGAAGGTCTGAAGACCATTCTTTACACCCTTCTCTGATATCCATTACCAAACTATGTAAGTGTGTGTGTATGTTTAGCAGTGTGAGGAGGAAAATGTGAGAAGGAAGGGAAGCATGAACCTGAGTATGGGAGAAATCACTCATGTTACCGTCATTATTTCAGATCTGTGCTTGAAAACACATTTCCAAATGCCTTGTACATTGGCTAAGTTGACCGACAGCCAAGCAAATACAAATATTAAAGGGACATTTGAAAATTAACATATTTATGCATGTATTTTCTGTTCTTTCCTGTGTTAATATTAATACATCATATTCCTGACAAGTAGCAGGATGAGAAATTAAAAGAACTAGTTTGATTTTTGCCACTTACCATGCTTATGTTTCATGTTTCTGCCAAAACAGAGAGTCCATCTCCTTATTGGTTTTCATTTACCAGCTGTAATGGGTTAGCTTATAATAAACTTGCCTTTTCATCAGGGTTGATTTAATCATTTTAGTTTTAGACATACCTAAACTTAATGTATACTCTAAGTTGACAGTATCTCTTTAAACAATTAATAATTCCTCAGAGCCATTTGTATGAAAATTCTGCCATCTTTTACACTTATTCACATTAATTGACACTATTTGTCTTCCTTGTTTCTCTGGGAAGGCTTCTGAGAACAGGAGTGAAGCAAACAGACTGCCACCTCCTCTGACAGCAGAACTGCAGCTAATCAGTTCTGAGGCTGCAAACAACTTAACTGCCAGACAAACTAACACGGCTATGAACCAGTTGCAGGTATCTAAGACAGCAAAAATCAGCGTGACTACATTTAACAGGGTGACTGACAGGATAGGTTTCCGTTTCAATGAGGTAAAGTTGTGTATAAGTTCCCCCATCCCCAAAATACATCTGTAAGGTCATTATCTCAAATAAAAATAAGAGAGAGAAATAAGTTATCTTTTAAAAAGCTAAAAATGAAATTACCTTTAAGCCTATTGCTAGACAGAAAGAGACCGAGGCGGGTAAAGAAACAGAGAAGAGAAACAGAGAATATTGATAAATGTGCTGTGTGTTGTCAGTTCTGAGAACCCAGGGTTGGCTGGCATCAGCCGAGTTCTGTCTCGAGATGCATGCTCTAGATGGTTCTCGATGTTTTGTTACAAATAGTCCGGGTTTTTTAGTTTTCAAATTGTAATGGGCTTATTTGATCACCTTCGTCTTTTTGGTCCAACTCCGTAGATTTTAACATCTTTCTCAGCAGGCGCAGGCCTGCATACTGGATACAGATATATAGATAGAATTACATAGTTAATACACTGTGCAGAGGCGTTCATAGAGAGTACAAATACCAGCATACAACGTTTCGTCTTGATCTGAGCAGCCAGTCTGCCTGCAGAATGCATTGCATGGTGGTTCCTGTAGCCTCTTGAACAACAAAATCTCTACGAGAGAGGACAATTGCCACACTCCACTGCATTTCTATGCAACGTAATTGCAATACCCCTAGCTCCCCTCAGGTCGCTTGTATTGGCCACAAGAGGGTAAAGAAGCATTTCTGATGAAATGCACGGCATTGCCTTTCCATGGATTGCCTTCCAAGCAGCAACATTTCTGGCTCAACCCAGGGCCGACACTTCATGAGTCGGGTTCCTGGGCGACTGGTCTTATCTCACCACTCCTCCTGCTCTGCCAGCAGCACCTTTTTGCAGAAGCCTCTTCACCTCTTCCGTCCCATAGCAAGTGCAGGAGTGGGATATTTTCAGTCAACAATGTTTCTGTGGAGTTAGTTTTTTGTTTTATTTTCTTTTTCTAGTTATTGTTCATTTGACCTTGTTATCAAATGCGTTCTCCTGCAATCACCTGAAAGGCCTTACTCAAACCAGCATATGTTTTCTTTTTTTCCCTTTTACATCACCTTAAAGGGACACATCTGTTGACAGAGCTTCTGTATAGAATGGATTTCATCTTTTGCTGAAGTTTTGTTCCAGCCAAAGCCGAACCTCCTGCAGATTGTAGAAAAAGGGGCCTTTGCCTCCCAGGTAGGCAATTTTTTGTCTCTGCACAATGCATACTCGCTCAAATGAAACCCCGTACGCCACATTGGCATTGTTGTCCATGCAGTCAGCCACCACTTGGCACTGAGGTGGCAAGGAAAAGCGCTCTAGGAGCTGGTGAGCAGCTGCACATCGGTCTTCCTGGTTCCTGTGTTTCTTAACTTCAAATGAAGAGGGAGAGATTCCAGGGGCAGCCCAGCCATCTGATGGGTGAGCCTCATCGATGTAGACCAACAGAAAGTCAGCCACACCAGAGAACTCCTCCACCAGCTTGCTGAAGGCCGACAGCTGGCTTGTGAACGGTGGTCAGGTAGCTGAACCAAAGTTGACCACCAGTGGCCTCTCGGAGTTGGCAAAATCCAGAAGGTGACATTTGGTTCCACACTTGCCACCGACACTCTTCCAGCTGCTAGTGCTGCCATCACTGCCCTTGGCTATGTGGATTACACTGGAGTTTGGGGCTTCTCCTCCCAGTTTGACCTGAAGGCAAAACAAATTAAAACGCAGCAAGTTAGTGTGACTTGCTTGTCCAGTATCCTTATGACTACCCTCTTCAAATAAATAGAATCACCTGTTCAAAGACTGCACCTAACTACCCACATGGGCACTAGCATGGGGATATAGCAAATCATCAAAACCAGCAGCTTCAAAAAGTTCATCTCGTCCATCTCCACTCACAGTGCAGGGACTGTGGCGTTCCTGACAGGAATACTACTTCATTAGTGTTAGAAAATTTGATCTGAGATCTGTCTTGTCCTGTCCACTACACACATAGTCCTGTCCACCCTTACGTATTCGCAGACTCTTATTTGCTTTCAGACAGACTACTTGCCATTTCTCCTAACTTTTCTTGGAGTAACAAATTTTCTAGACATGATTTTTTTTACTGCTATCCTCTGAGTTCTCTCCACTTGGTTCACATCTTCCTTGAAGAGCAGTGTTCAAAACTTCAAAAGAGTTTTTACTAATTCTCAGAAAAATCAGACACGTTTCATGTATCTCACAGGCTCACCTGATTATACATTCCAGATGTTTGCTTTTTATGAAACATCATGACTGTTCTGGAAAAACACTAGACTGTTGACTAGAGGTTAGCTAGTGAGAAGTTATAATGCCTAGGTCCCTTCTTCTGCCTTTCTAGTTTGCTCCCCATCATGGATTTGGGTACTTCATCAGTCCAGCCTGCATTTGGTGCTTTGCACTTGGTCCCATTGAACTGCATCCTACATTGCAAGCCATTTTTCTGATTCTCCAGAATCATTCTGCATTGTACTCCTGATCTTCACAACACATACAGTGCCTCAACTTTGAGAGGTTTGCAGATTTCATACGTGTATATTTTCTTCCATCCTGCAGTCCAAGAATGAATATACTCCGAGTACCCAACACAAGAGAGATCTCTGCAGGCACCCACTCAATACATCGTTCTGTTCTGACAGTGGACCATCCAAGACTTTGTTCTCCAACAGGTTTTCTAACCACTTTACAGTAATTTCATCAGTGATTGAGTGACACATTTCCTTCTACTGCAATGTTTTTCTAGAAGATGATTGGTGAAAAGGCAGCAGGAAAAGGGGAAATTTTACGTGATGGTTGAAGTAGGGTGAAGTGAAAATAAACTATTCTCAGCTCTAACCTCAGATCTGATTCAGACCCAACAGGCAATTGTGGAAAAGTCATTTTGCCTGACTGTTTCTATTTCCCTGCCTATAGAAAAAAAGACAGAATATAAGCATCTCACAGAAGGGACTGCCAGAATAAGGTGGAGCCTGCAGAGGGCTCCAAGATTCTTAGCTGATAACTGCTATAGAACCACAAAATATTATTACATAAGATAATTAGTTTTTAATAAGCTCTGCCACAGCAATTCCTATGTATCTGCCTTTAACATCAAGCTCTACTACAACAATGCAATTATCCTCTTGTGTTTCCCTGACTCTTTCTCTCTCTCTGTCTCCTGTCTATTTGATGATGTTCAGAAGTGTTGCTTTAAAGAAAACACACAGGGCCAAATTCTGAAGTCTTTCATATTTTGTTTCTTTCTTTCTGAAGCTACACTCCAATTGAAGTTGATAGAAGTTAACACTGAATGAGAACTGTGTGAAAACTGAATAAACCCCTGATTTTTGGTGCACTTCTATTCTACATTACATTATAGGGTGCCCTGGTGAGTCAGATACAGCAAGGAGCTGTATCAGTTAACAGCTGAGTACTTAACTGTTGCAACTGCTGCTGCACACAGATCCAGAGGTGAGTATATTGTAGATACTGGATCCTCCATTTCTCCCTGAGAAACCTGACCACCTTGAACAAATCTACAGTTATTCATGACTTGGCATTATTTAATCAGAACTGCAATAGAAGCAAGAGTCTAACCAAAACAAAGTTTGTAAGACACTGGCCGTAAAGCTGCCAGGCTTCACAGCTACATGAGAAGGTCTCACAGCATGTTGGCACAGGATATAGACATCATTTTGCCTATTGTCTTTGGGGCAAATTGAGACACAACTGTGCCATAATTCACTTGGAGATCAGCGAAGAAGAGAGCCATGGAAAGAAACACTGTCTGAGACCCACAAATCTCTCCAGGCCAAGCTCATGGTGATCACACCACTGAAGTAGGGGATGCGCAGCTGCAGCTGCACCACAGGCAGCGAAAGCAAGCGATGCTCCAGAAAAGCACAGCCCCTTGTGGCACCCCTCTCTGTAAACCTGCATCTGCAGCATTGCTATCTTCTAGAGCCCTGGAAACAGTTAAAAAAAAAGCCGTGTGCTCATTTGCTGTTGAAAGCAAGTGAGGTTTGAAATAGCTGAGTTTAGGACCTGCTGTGTGAGTGGGCTGTCCGTTGGAGGAAAAGGAAAAAAAAAGAGCTGTATCCCAGTTTTTGAGAAGAAAAGATCTATCTGGAGAGAGGCAGGCTCAGAGACTCAGGCTGTAGCATTTAAGAAATAGCATTAAGCATCTTGCAGCATTTAAGAAGTGCTGCTACCAGCCACCTACACCTTAGCAGGTAGTAGGTACTCTTCTGTGCAGCTGCTGAACATCTCATTTCTCTCTGCCATTCTGGGCAGTAAGATAGGCAAAGCAGCAGTGAGTAAGGTAAAGGGCCAGACCCGAATAAAGAAATACACAGGTCAAGATCCTGTGGCAGCCATACAACCATCCTGAGGGCTGCTTTCAATCCGTAAGCCAGCTAGACAACTCAGCATTTTGTGATAAGTTGGAAACTACCAAAAAAGTGCACATCTCAAGAACCACATCTGCACAAACACTAGATCCTTCTTTACCTAGAAAGCTTAACTGTTCTTGCACTACCAAGCAAATGCTTTTTCACAGCTAGCTTGCTCAAAATATGCCTTTTGGGCAAAGCCTGACATGTAAGTATCTGTGCTGCACCCACTCCCTGGATGAATAATGGACCTCAGTATTTAGGAGTGTTCAGTCATCCAGTCAAAGAAAAGAAGTAGCAACATGTGATTTATCTCATAAATCACAATTAAGCAACATACTGAATTTCTGATATTTGCTGGTATTCTTCAGAGGAGAAGAAAACTAAAGGTAAAAAGGATAGAAGCAACTAAACTCAGCAATGAACAGAGCTGCTCAGGAGACAAGAAATATCTGGGCAGCTGTTTCCCCTCACTCTTCTGGCTTTATTTTAACAAAACTATTATGACTGGAAATGCTCTAACCAACACTCTTGAACTGGGGAATCACAGTCTGCTTCTTGATCATATTTAACCAGAAAGAGAGGCTATATGTTGTAAGTTCCTCATTACCAACTCTTCAGTCAGGTCTACCAAACGCTTCTTTTCCTAGGCAAGTTTGCAAACCCTGAAGGAACAGACTAACAAAACAACTCCCATCGAACACCAGCATGGGAATGCCCTTCAAGCACTATTTATCATTGATACCAAGGGCGGCAATGTATTTCACTATTGTCCATCAATGCAAGTTTGCATCCTGCCTCTCATAATCACTGACCAAAAAAATAGATGGATTCAGGAAGAAAGTACGAATATGCCCTACGTCATCTAGTAGCAGCTTCTCTTCATTTCCCACAGCCATGAAGTAAGTCTCATGGCCGCAGGTTACCTATCATTTTAATTTTTGTTTCTAGGAGTGCTTGTGTTGGGTTTTTTCCCCTTAATGAGACATCCTTGCCAAGCGGGCATTCACGAGGCATTTTCTGCTCTTGTAGGGGAATAATTAGGTCGGTGCCTTGTTCCATGCCAGTGTCAGGCACTCCAAAAAGCAGCCCTGCCCAGTCGTTAATGCTTAAACATAAGCAGCGGCATCTCCACTAATTGGTCTTGATGAAGCGCTGACGTTCCCAAAGGGGCTCTTTATTTCACCAGGCTCGGGAACCGATTGACACAGGATGACAATATCATCCTTGCTGATCATCTGCATTGTAGGCCTTGGCTGTTGTCTTTGTTGTTATTTATTGAAAGAAAAAATAGCTCTTGGAAAAGAAAATCAATGCAATGAGAAAACAAACAAAAAACCCCATGCATTCAGCCAAACCGCTTTTGAAATCTTACACAAAGGCAGGCAAAATATAAATTCTGAGAAACAAACTAGCAGAAATCCCCTCACACGCGATCCAGCATTTCTATAATCACGTACTTATGTGCGCGAAAATTCGGGCGTTCGGCGCCAGCATTCTGGATGAGGTGGAAGCCAGGCGGTGCGCAGGCACACCCTCCCACATAGCCTGCATGGGACTACACAAGGTAGGCCAACCAAATCTGAGTGCCAAGCCCGGCCATCAGCAAGAGCCAGAACCAGCCTGACACCAAAGCAGTCTTGCATCATCTGTGCAAATTTTGTGTTTGCTTGACAGCCTTGGTGCTGCATCTCCTTCTCCGAGGCTACACACAGAGTGTAAAGGGAACAAGGTTGCTGATGCCTTAGCACGCAGACTGCAAAATGAAGGAGACTTAGGAACAGGAAAGAAAGCCCTATTCATAAACTACAGGCTAGAAATAGCACATACTGCTAACCTTGTTGTACGTTCTCCATAGGACTAGGAAAAGCCCCATGGACAAAACATTGCCTCCTCATTTACCTTTTCTTTTTCTCATTTTGCTTTTATCAGCTTTAACATAACCCTCCTGGGATCCCGTGCGCTGGAACACGGCTTTTATTCCCTGCATGAGGGATTTTCAAACAATTTGGCAGACTCATCAGGCTGTGTCCACCCCCTAAAGAAAATAGGTATTGCCAGACAATTAGCAGTCTGTGATAGTAGCCATTTAAATATGGACATGCTGTGTTCGGGACTGGAGTCCAGTGATTGGTAATGAACTGAATCCCTGGAGCTTTTTGCTCCTTTTCATATTCTCTGCTTTGATTTGATTTGATCCCATTCAGCTAAATGTAGCCTCTAAACAGCCCAATATTTCTCAGTGCTTCATCCAAATTACAATCAGACTCTGGCTGGAGAATTATACAAATTATTATTTTTGTTTTCTTTATTTATG